GTTTTGGCTGTTACAAACAACCGTTATGTGAACAAAATTAATATACCCTTGTGCACAAGTGCGCTCGGGTATAATTAATATACCCTTGTGCACAAGTGCGCTCGGGTATAAAAATAAGAATATTATTGTCCATTTTCAACACCATCCGTCCTACGCCCGAAGGAAGTACTGGTACCAAGTTTCGTTGAGATATCTGAATTTTTACTCGAGTTATCGTGCGCACAGACGGACCGACAAACGGATGGACGGACCGACAGACCGTCACCGCTTAATCGATTTCTCCTTTCATTCTGATCATTCATGTATGTATCGGTTGGCAACTTCTCGCTCTAACTCCGCCATATTGACTGCCTTAGGTGAAACAGTGTTACTTCTTTAACAATTCTNTATCGGTTGGCAACTTCTCGCTCTAACTCCACCATATTGACTGCCTCAGGTGAAACAGTGTTACTTCTTTAACAATTCTTTGCCTAATAATATAGTTGAATGTTTTTTATTATTTCTCAGTATACACATTTTGTTTTCTAAAAAAGGTATTTTATCTTATTTTATTTCATTTCATTACGAATATACTATAAAAAAGCAAATTTTGTTTAGGANTACTGAGCTAAGGCAGTGTCAAATCGAGCTGTCACAACTGATACCACTTTGTATCATTGCATCATGGTCTGTATCTATCTCCATTCGTTTTGCATGTTAGGTTAGGTTAGGTTGAAGTGGCTGCTAGGCCCAGAGGGCGCCAGCACACTTAGGCCCGATCAGGGCCCATTGTGATACCACATGTATCCAAAGAAAACCCCTATTCATTAAACCAGTTTGTGGAGTCTGCAAACCTTAGCAACTGCCGTATTCCAAACTTAGCAGTCGCGCTTAGATCGTCTAGAAGACCTATACCTAGTGTTGCTGGCGCAATAGCAACTTTAGGTCGGTCGTACGAGGCGGCGACCAATATGCTTAAAGTCATTAAAAAATGCACGGATATATTAAGAACTATACAAGTATTTGTTTATTATTTTACTCTTAGTGCGTTTATACGGAATGTAGATGTGTTTTAATATCTGAAATATATATTAATTGAAATGTAAGATGAATAGCAAAAAATTATAACGCGACTTACTTATCCGTGTCCTCGTACGTCTTTGAAAAGCCGAACGGTCAAATTCAAAATGGTTCGGTCAAATCAATGGCGTGTACATATTCGAGGCACGGTTGCATTTTAGCGTACAAATGTTACACATATTAGGATTTCATTGCAGTTAAAAATTAAACTGAAACGTAGAAAAGTTCTAAATGATTTAATCAGCAACATTCTCCCCCTCGTTATTCGGTTCACTTACGAGAGAATCACCTTTAACGTCCAGAACTGCAATCTTAGATGCTGGACGCCGTAGATTTCCTGCGGCGGTCTTAACTAAAACGGATCGGACTTGACCATCAGCGGCTAGCTTAGCTTCGACCACGATGCCTCGCTTCCAGTGGCCTCGGCTTTCGTTGTCATCACATATGATAACCACATCTCCGATGCTTATTGGTTTCACCCTTTTGTACCATTTTGTTCGACGTGTCAAAGTAGGCAGATATTCTAGGACCCACCTTTTCCAGAATGTTTGCATCAATTGCTGAGCTATGTGCCATTGTTTTCGGAGGTTTACCTTTTCGGGAACGGCGGTGGTTTGTGCATAGTTGGGACAACCCAACAAGAAATGATTCGGCGTAAGGGGCTCCGCGTCAGAGCTCTCTATAGGCACGTGCGTTAACGGACGTGAATTAACTAAATTTTCCGCCTCTATTAAGAGACTTTGTAGCGTCTCAACCTGTGGTGCACGTTCTTTTAAGGTGAAGAGCAAAACTCTTTTAACGATGCGTACCATCCTCTCCCATACGCCACCAGCTTCAGGATTTCCTGGAGTATTGAAGATCCACTCGATGCCTCTGCGATTGCATTCGGATGATATGCCCTGCTCGATTTGCACCCAGCCTTCTTTACTGGCTCCGACGAAATTCGTTCCTCTATCGCTTCTCATACGAACCGGTACCCCTCTTCGATTTACGAAGTTTCGACAAGCAATTATAGCAGCGTCGGTCGAGAGATCTCTGGCCAGCTCCAAATGGATAGCTCTTGTGGTAAGACAAGTAAAAATAGCAACCCAGCGTTTTTCCTGTCGACGTCCTATGGCAACGAGTACTGGTCCAAAATAGTCGACCCCTGTGTACGAAAACGGTCGCACGAATGGAGGGACCCTATCAATTGGCAATTGTCCCATCAGCGGCGCTAAATTTTTACATACTTGGCACTGGGTTTTGACTGATCTAAGAAGACGGCGTACATTAGGAATCCAAAATTTATATCGTATCGCGCAAATTGTAGCCTCGAAGTTTTGGTGATAATACAACTCATGAAAGTGCCTTACAATAAGTCGAGAAATAGCGTGACCCCTTGGCAAAATTACCGGTCGCTTCGTTGAAATTGGTATACATTCTGCGAAATCAATACGTCCGCCTAGTCGCAGGACTCCCTCTTCGTCTAGCATAGGGCTCAACTTATATAAAGTACTACGTTTGTCAATCGGGGAAGCGCTTTGCAGACATTTAAGCTCCTCGCAGAATGCAGTTGCCTGTACCAAACGGCAGATTAACAATTCGGCGTTCTTCATTTGTTTGACATTTAACATCTTAGGAACAGTAAAGCTACGTTCGCGAAATTTCCTGATGGCGAGTCTGACCCAACTCATAATGAATGAAACTGTAATAACTTGAATATCTATGGAATGGTAAAATTCCATCCTCATATATAGGATACAATTGTTTGGAACGCATTTCCTCATTGCAGTCTGATGACTTCACGTCCTTAGGCATGACGGGCCAGTTGCTTTGAGGTAACCTAAGAAAACTAGGACCATTCAACCACTTACTATTTAAGCTGAATGTTTTTACCCGTGTAGCGTCGTCGGCTGGGTTATCATTGCCTGGTAGCCATCTCCACCGGGATGCGTCTGAGGATTCCAAAACTTCTGCTATTCGATGTGCAACAAACTGTTTGTAACGTCTGGCATCGGACCTTATCCACTGGATTACCGTTTTTGAGTCGGACCAAAACGTTACGCTGCTGGGGTTTATGTCATGGCTGCTGACTATGGCATCCTCCAGTCGAACTGCTAATACGGCGGATTGAAGCTCCAACCTTGGAATTGAAATCGGCTTCAGCGGACTACATCGGGACCTTCCTGCAATAAACGATACCTCGGTTGCAGCTTCGTATTGCATGCGACAGAATGCAACCGCTGAGTACGCGAGCTCACTAGCATCAACAAAAATGTGCAACTGCACATCAGCATCGGCGTTGAGGAAACTTGTACTGTAACACCTTGGCATCTTGAAGCGTTCAATGTAGCGCAGGCTGTTGTACCATTTCATCCACTTTTCGTATATGTCGTCTGGGATTGGCTCATGCCAATCAACTTTTCTCTGCCACAATCTCTGCATAAGTATCTTAGCGCGCAGGATAATGTTGCAAAGAAACCCCAAGGGATCAAAGATTGACATCATTGCGCTTAGTACTTCACTTTTAGTTGGTCGTCTGGTGCCGTCAAGAACTGGTTTTGGCACTTTAGTGAAGGTTAACTTAAACATAAATTGATCTTCAGCGGGATTCCAATGCATGCCGAGCACCTTCGCCGTTGCGCACTCATTTTGCCAAAGATTATGCAGCCGTGGTAAATGTGTCTCCGAATCATTTCCTACGGCTTGTACCAGTTTCTTAGAATTGGAAACTATTCCTCGAAGCTGAAAGCCGGCGCTGCCGTGAATGTCTATCACCTGTTTTGTGATGCTAATACCTTCTTCCGTATCGTTAAAACTGTCCATATAATCGTCGACGTAATGACGATCGATAATAGCGTTCACTGCTCTCGGACAACTATCCCGATATTTCTCTGCATTTACATTCTTAATGAATTGTGCTGAACAAGGTGAACTAACGGATCCGAAGATCATTGCGCACATCACATACACGTCTGGTTGCTTAAATCGATCACCACCTCGCCATAGGAAGCACTGTGAATTTTGATCCTCCTGACGAATGAGAATACGGTGGAACATCTCGCGGATGTCTCCACACACTGCAATTTGGCCTTGTCGAAATTTGAACAAAATTGATATAAGAGATACTGGCTGATATTCATCAGGCCCTTTCATAAGTGCGTCGTTTAAGCTCATCTCGTTTACTCTAGCAGCGGCATCAAAGACTAACCTGCGTTTGTTCCCTTTGTTTGGATTGCAAGTGGCGAAATGAGGCAAATACCAAGTGCGCTTGTCGCTTATACATGCCTCGGTTGGCGACAATTTTCTGGCATAACCCTTATCTACATACTCTTTTGTTTTGTTTTTGTACCAGCTTGAATAATCAACATCTTTAGCCATCTTCACTTCAATCTGTTCCAAACGCTTCAACGCCATGGAATAACTTTCCGGAAAATTAACATCCTCGATGCGCCACAACAAGCCAGTTTCGTATTTTCCATTTTCGAATTTTGTAGTTTTATCAAGTAAATCTTGAGCTCTTTTATCAGCCTCTGACTTAACCATTGGCAACGGTTTAACTTCCAAGCTCTCGGCTGCAAAATATTCAGCTATTTGTTTATTTGTTTCAAACACCTTACACATTTCGATACCTATGTGACCGATTGTGCCGTCACTAGCATGATATTCGTTTGATCCGAATACTGCCCACCCCAGTTTTGTTTTGTGGACTGCAAAGCCTTCATCAAAATTTATTGATTCGTTTGTTCTTATTAAATTCGAGTGCGGTAATCCAATAAGAAGTTGCGGCACAACGCCGTTGTAATCAAAAATTTTTTTGTTGTGCGTACACCTCTCATATGGTAAAATTCTGCTGCTTCGAATTCGCCGGAAATTTCAAACGACACTTGCCGAGAGCGCTCACTTGCTGTATGATTGCCGATCCACTTCAGCTGAAGCATATCAGCTTTACCTTTGAGTCCAATTGCGTTTGCAACACTATTCTCCAGTAAGGAAATTTTCGCTCCTTCGTCGATAAAGGCGATAACGTTTATTTCCCCTTTCGGGCCTCTCAATTTTACTGGCAAATATTTGAGTAGAGTTTGTCGCTGATTTTTCCAATTGGATTGTTGTGTAGACTCATGTTGCACAGCTTTGCCGGCACTAACTATGGCAACAGCTGTGTGTGTAGGGGCTGTGTTTACATTAACATCTTCATTCGGATTGTGAAGTAGGCGATTGTGGAATTTGTTACATTTATTACATTTTTCACGTTTATTACACTTTTGTATTCCATGCCCTGGTTGCATGCAACAAAAACACAATCGATTGTTTTTTACGAAACTCCAACGGCTATTGTTATCGCTATCTCTAAACTTTTGGCATTTATATAAGTGATGATTTTGCTCACACATTGGGCATGTTTTCACGTCTTTGCTGATTGTCATCACAGGCTTTGATGAATTCTTAGCTTTATAATTAATCTGCTCATCTGTTGGATGCTTTTGTGTTGTGACGTCGATAGCCATAGATACGTAAGTGGCAGTTTGTTGCAACCAGTTGCAAAAATCACGAACAGTGGGGTACGGGTGCTGCAAATTAAAGGTATGGCGAGACCATTCCTCTCTTTTATTCATAGGCAGCTTACTGACCAGTTCAACAATGAGTATTGGGTTATTGAGGTGCGCTATGGCTCCAGAATTTTCAATAAATGCTGTTAAATTGGACACCATGGAATTGAAGTTGAGAATATCAGATGCTCGTGCTCCCGTGATTGCAGGAAAAGCCCGTGCCTTGGCTATTTGGCTACGGATCAGTAAATCAGGGCGACCATAATTAAATTCTAATGTTTTCATAACCGAATCAACGCTTGCTGGATGTATGAGTAATGATTCGACCTTTTGTCTGGCATTACCTTTTAATGCTTTCTGTAAACGTAGCAGATTTTCTAAATTTGTATAGGCATACATTTGTGTGGTTTCCCTATAGGCAATGGAAAACATAGGCCATTGTTCGGCCGATCCTTGAAATTCTGGCAAATCTAGAACCTTTCTGGGGTGTGTGTAGCTTATTGGACTGGAAGTTAGTAGAGCGTTGTTCATTGCGGGAACTGATGAAATATTGGGACTAAAAAAGTATGGCATATTATACGTAGGCACTGTTGGCGCTGTGGTTGGTACAGAGTTCACGTTGGCTGCTGAACCGTTCATGGTGTAACGCGAATTCGGGAGGTTTAGAGTAGGCTGCATACGCGTCGAATGTTGTATGGTAGGGTAAACTGAATTGGCAGTGGTGTAGGCGGCATTAGCAAAACTAACGCCGGTTGGAAGCACTGTGGCATTTGCGTTAGCGGTGTAAACACCTAGCTCTGCTGCGTAGGCATTTGCAGCTGCGGCTAGGGTGGAGTGTTCACCAACGTTGGGTAAGGCAATATTTGCTCCGGCATATTTAGAGCAGGCAGTGGAGCCTTCGATAGATTGGGAGCAGGCGATGGTAGCTTCGGCGGCTTGGGTGCAATCAATGGTAGCTTCGGCGGAGTTACCGACGGCAGAGATGACGTTGGAAGCTTGGCGATTTATCACTTCCTTGAGTTGAAGCTTCTCCTGCTCCGATGCAGCGAGCGATCTTTGTAATTTTCTTACCTGTTCACGTAACTCCTCCATCATGCCGTCCTGTGGTGCGATTGTGCGGTTAATTTCGTCGCCGCTACATGAGCTGTTGTCGCTGTTGTCGGCCATTTTGATTTCGCAAATATGTGATGAAACTACTCTACTTCGTAGATTGTAACGCGGTAATTTTCCAGGAGTCACTCGGCAATTTCCTTGCAAATCCGATGAATTCATAGGCGTTATGAAACGAATTTTGCAGGATAAATATTAAAATCTGTTGCTGGCGCAATAGCAACTTTAGGTCGGTCGTACGAGGCGGCGACCAATATGCTTAAAGTCATTAAAAAATGCACGGATATATTAAGAACTGTACAAGTATTTGTTTATTATTTTACTCTTAGTGCGTTTATACGGAATGTAGATGTGTTTTAATATCTGAAATATATATTAATTGAAATGTAAGATGAATAGCAAAAAATTATAACGCGACTTACTTATCCGTGTCCTCGTACGTCTTTGAAAAGCCGAACGGTCAAATTCAAAATGGTTCGGTCAAATCAATGGCGTGTACATATTCGAGGCACGGTTGCATTTTAGCGTACAAATGTTACACATATTAGGATTTCATTGCAGTTAAAAATTAAACTGAAACGTAGAAAAGTTCTAAATGATTTAATCAGCAACACCTAGGAATTTCTGTCTTTTCCTGCCCAGTGCTGGGCAATCGCAGAGTAAGTGCCTTATTGATTCAGGCTCTTCTTCGTCGTGGCAGCTCCTGCAGTAGTCGTTGTGACTAACCCCGAGGCGTTCTGCGTGCCTTCCTATCAGAATATGTCCTGTGAGCAGACCAATGGCCAGTGACATATCGCCTTTGTTGAGAGTGAGAATTTCTCTCGATCTCCGTACATCCCATTTTGGCCATGTAAGCTTCGTTGTATTACAGTTTTCAGTGCGCTCCCATCTGGAGGCCGCTTCTTCAAGGAAGTTCTCCCTTAGTAAGAGCTTGCAGGAAGCGAGTGGCATACCCACCCTCTTCCAGGCTGGTGAAAGTGGAGAGGAAGTACCCGCCCTTGCAAGCTCGTCTGCCTTCTCATTTCCTGGTATGTCACTGTGCCCCGGTACCCATACCAGGTGCAAAGCGAACTGCTCTGCCATCACGTTAAGTGATTTGCGGCAGTTGGCAACTGTTTCCGAATTTATAGTGACAGAGTCAAGCGCCATAAGGGCCGCCTGACTGTCTGAGTATATATATATTTCCGTAGTGGCGATAACAGCTAGTTTTAGGCTGTCAACGGCTTCTTGTATGGCTGCCAATTCGGCTTGAAAGACACTACAGTGGTCAGGTAGTCGGAATGATCTTTTTATTCCCAATTTCTCCGAGTAGACGCCTCCTCCTACCCTATTTTCTAGTTTGGAGCCGTCCGTGTAGAATCTTATGGCATCTCTAGACCCCGGAACTCCTTCGAGCCATGATTCCCTGCTAGGTAGCATTACGCTATAACCTTTAGTGAAAGTGAGCCTTGGTACACAGTAGTCCTTTGTACTCGGTAGTTGTCGGTTTCTCAGAATTGTAGTGTGACCACAGCGAGCCGCTTTCCAGCTTTTAAGCCCCTGTAGTCTTAGGGCTGCAAACGCAGCGTATTGTCGTCCCATAATATCTATGGGTATGATGTTGAGGATCGTATTCATTGCCATAGTAGGTGTTGTGCGGAGAGCACCACTAATGCAGATCAGGGCCGTTCTCTCCACTTTTTGTAATTTAATAATGTTTACTTTCTTCTCCAGCACTGGCCACCATACCACTACCCCGTACAGAAGTATGGGCCTCACCACGACGGTGTATATCCAGTGCACTAGCTTCGGGGTTAAACCCCATTTTTGGCCGATTGCTCTCCTGCAGCTGTATAGGGCAACCGTGGCCTTCCGCACCCGCTCTTCGGTGTTTTGAATCCAGCTTAATTTTTTATCTAGGACTATCCCCAGGTATTTAGCGGATTCGCTTAATTTTAGTGTGGTCTGTGCCAGCCTTGGTGTTATCAATGGGGGGATTTTGTACCTTCTTGTGAACAGTACAAGTTCTGTCTTGCTTGGGTTTACCCCTAACCCGTTATTTTTTGTCCAACTCTCGACTTCCTTCAGTTTTACCTGCATAATGTCACATAGAGTCTGTGGAAATTTCCCACTTACTGTTAGTGCAAGATCATCCGCATACGCAATAACCTTACAGCCACCCCCCTCCATGCCACACAGCAGTGAGTTTACCGCTGCGACCCATAATAGAGGGGATAGGACTCCCCCTTGCGGGGTGCCCCTCTCTACGAACCTGGTCAACGATACCCCCGCCAGCTCCGCCCGGACCACCCTGCATCTCAGCATTTGGTTTACGAGCGCAACTAAGCGCGAGTCGATGCCCAGGCCCGTCAGTGCTGCCGTTATCGCGCCCGGCATGATGTTGTTAAAGGCGCCCTCTATATCCAGGAAGGCTGCTAGCGTATATTCTTTGATGTCTAGTGATCTCTCTATATACGACACTATTTCATGTAGCGCCGTTTCTGTAGATCTACCTTTCGTATAAGCATGTTGTGTGGTAGAGAGTCTGTCACCAACCGACTCTCTGATACGGACCTCCACCAGTCTCTCCATAACCTTCAGTTGAAATGACGACAAGGTGATGGGCCTGAAATCCTTTGGGTTATTGTGAGACACCTTCCCTGCCTTGGGGATGAACACCACTCTTGATTCCCTCCACTTTCTAGGGATATGGTTAAGAGCTAATACTCCCTTAATTATAGCGTGTAGCCACGCTGAGCTTAGCTGAAGTGTTTGCTGCAGCTGTATGGGGGCAATGCCATCCGGACCTGCTGATTTATAGGGCTTAAATGTCCCAATAGACCAGATGACCTTTTCCCTAGTGAGGAAATCTCCAGTGACCGAAAGATCTCCAGTTAGATGTGGCTGTACCGGCATGCTATCCGTGGCACCCGGGAAGTGTGTGCAAAGAAGCAGATCCAGTGATTCCTCCTCGGTCTCTGTCCAGGAGCCGTCAGGTCTTTGCAAGCATCCTGGGGCTTTCTGGGCAGTACCTGAGAGTATCTTTCTGAGCCTGCCTGCCTCTGAGATAGACTCCACCCCATTGCAGAAGTCTTTCCATGAGGTTCTTTTCGACCTTCTTAGGAGCTTCTTGTACTCCCGTAACGTTGTCTTGTAGGTCTCCCAATGTCCCTCACTACCAGACGCAGTAGCCTGATTGAAGGTTTTCCTGCAGTTCTTGCGTGAAATCCTGATTTCTTCATTCCACCAGGGTGGCTTTTTCCTACCCCGGTGCTGCTTTTTGGGGCATGCAATGTCTATTGCCTTACTGCAGGCCCCCGTAAAATGGTCGACAAGATATTCCAGCTCCTCTAGGTTTGCTGGAGTAGCCGGCTCTCTATCTTGTGGCAAAAGCCTATCCAGCTCTTTCCGATACCTATGCCAGTTGGCATTTCGCAAGTTTCTAGTTAGAGGAGCCTTGGGCGTTTCCCCTAATACCTCGAATTGGATATATCGGTGGTCGGAAAAGGAGTGCTCCTCAAGCACCTTCCACTTCCCGACCAGACATTCCGCATTCTCAGAGATAAGGGTAACGTCCAGAACTTCCCTTCGGGATTTTGTAATAAAAGTGGGATCATTCCCCCTATTCGCAATAACAAGCTTAGAACTAAGTATGAAATTAAAAAGTGACTCACCCCGTTCGTTATCATCGGAGCTGCCCCAGGTGTGATGGTGAGCATTCGCGTCACCTCCCAAAATTAGCGCCTCTCTCGTGCTGGCCACTAGGTCTTTAATGCAGGTAGTTGGCACCTCCTTGTCATGCGCTAGGTACATGGATGCCATCTTAATTGGTCGTCCGTTTGCACTTAGACTGACCGCTGTTGTGTCCTCGTCGCTAAATTGTGGAAGAAAGAGACACTTTAGTGTGATACTTATCAATATGCACGTCCTTGGTTTCCCCGTTGAGGCTCCACTTACCAGTCTGTAGCCCGGCGCTTTCAGCCCACAAATGTTTTGTCCCACCACCCAAGGTTCTTGGATTAGGACGATGTCGGCTGCCCCTTTAGCTGTTAGATGGAGCAGCAGTGCAGCTGAAGCTGCTTTACAGTGGTGAAGGTTAATCTGCAGTACCTTCACCATCTTGGCCGTTATCGCCCACGTCGCCTATTAGGGTGGAGTTGACCGCGTCTTCCGACATCTCGATCAACTCCTCCTCCGTATAAAGCCGAAGCATGCGTCCGACCCCCAGCGAAGACGTCGATGAGGCATAACCCCCGGTCAGGTCGTCCATCGGATCAACCTGCTCGGATTCTTCCTCCATCTCCACGTCGCTGTTGGCCTCTTCCGGCTCTACCTCCGCGATCAGGTTCTTCGCTGCGTTTACGTCGTTGCTGTAGACCTTAATTTTGGCCATGTCACAGCCGTAACGTATGACCCCGCTCTTTTGCTCCAACAACTCTATGGAGTCCTTATTTAGAAGCAGGACAACCTGCATCGTCGCTTTACCGCTTTCGTTGATTTTGACCACCTTCCAATTATCGGTAGGTAGCTCCGGGTTATAGAGCCTTATGGTTTGGAGGATCCTTTCTGGCTCCGCTGGCTTGCAAGGCAACCATGCTCTCGCTCTCGGTCGCACCGGTAGGTCCTTGAAGTCGACCGCCCTGAGCTTCGCACCAGGGTAGACTTCTCCAATACCTGCGACTGTTTTCTTGTAGATCTCCGCTGATCTAGCATCCTCGCATGCTATAACGCGGATGTTATTTTGGAACCACCCCGCTCCCTTGCAGGTTGGCGGAGGTCCCGGATTCTCCAACATAATGTTGATAGCAATGTCGGCCATCGCGGCCTTAACCCACTTCCATTGCTGCCTCAGGGTGAGGCTGTCTTCATTGCTCTCATCGATGACGCCGAGCAGGATCTGCTCCTTGGCTACTTCAGCAAAAGAAGGCCCCTGCGTTCTGACCCTCTTTGCGTATTGGTTGGGCGTATTTTCCCCCGATCTATTGCGCTTACTGGAGGGCGCCTGCGGCTGCTTCTCCTCCGGCTTGCGGTAGTCGGGCAGGACTGCCTTTGCCCAGTCGATTTCTGTGAGGATCTCCTTCACATGCTCTTCTTTCGCCTTGCTACACAGGTCAGGCGTTGCGGTGAACCTTTGCAGGATTCGAGCAGCCAGCTTCCTCTGCCGATAGCCCGCTGCAGCTGGTTCTGGCCTCTGGTCAGGCCTCGTGAAGGCCGTGGGTGTCGCGGGAGGACCGCCCGGGGCCTGCGCCCCAGATTCAGCCTTATCCCCGGCTGCAATCTGCATGCCAGGTTGGCGTCCACTGGTGCCAGGAGTTTCCCGGGGTGGACTCCTTTGAGCAACCCCACCGCCACTTTCCTTCGTTTTTGCGAGAGCTTGGCCCGGTTTCACCATTGGCCTTGGTTTCCCGCTATTTGTCACCGCACTACGGCTGGTGGAGGTACTCTGCATCGCTTGAGCTCCTTGTTTAGTGGGCCGAGACCCTTCCGACGCTTTAAGGGGGCCGGTCCCTTTATAAATTGTTTTTGATGTTGTTGTTGCTGTTTTTGCTGTTTTTGTTGTTGTTGTTGTTATTTGTTTTTTGTCCATAATTGATCCCACGGGCTGCGGAGAAAGGGGTTCGTCCACCCGGGCAGAGATCCGCGATGCCCAGGTAAGGCCTACTTACATCCTGGGTGTGGCCGCCTCCCAGAGGGCTCCGTTCGCGACTGGGCTATTTAGGGGCCCCCAGCCTGGCCGATCCTCGGTACGGTGCGCGTGACGCCTTGATCCAGCCCCTTCAGACCTCCAAGCCACGATCAGAAACCATTTCCATATGACTACGCTATTAAGGAGTTTAGCACATAGCACTGATTCCTGATCTTAGCTGAGCACCATTCTGACATCGCACATAATCCTCTGTAGTGCCCATTTCCAGTCAGCACCCTCGTGGAGGGTTCAGCCGGAGTAGTTTTGCATGTTACAAACAACCGTTATGTGATCAAAGTTATAATATACTTGTGCACAAGTGCGCTCGGGTGTAAAAATCATAAAACGAAGAAAGGGTATGAGTGAATTGTTTTTTCCCTGTTCAAGTACGGTCGTTCTGACCTGTCGAGTTTTGTTACAGCAGATATCTGATTAATATACATACAAAAATAAAGTCGGTTCATTAAATATAACATTAAAAGTTTTAAAACAAGAGAAAATAATAATAAGTAATGTAATAGACGTTGACATAAAGAAAATTGATACTAAAATTAAATTGAAATGTTAAAGCGTACCGGTGACTACTATCGTATGAACAAATTAACTGTGAAATAAAAAAGTAACATACATACATAACTGTTCCACAAAACGAAACAGACAATTTTTCAATCACAACCTAAAAATATAATTTGACGAATAATTAAAAAATTATAAATTTGGAGGAATAACCTGGCGACATGACGACTTAGTTCCCAGCCATTTAAATTTCAATATGAGTAATACATTCTGACATATAACCAATAATTAGTAACCTGGTTGCTTGTGGCCCAGGCCACAGAGTATACGGAAAAGTTTATTTTTTTACATTTTTATACCCGAGCGCAATTGTGCACAAGGGTATATTAATTTTGTTCACATAACGGTTGTTTGTAACAGCCAAAACGAATCGAGATGGATATAGACAAATGTATACATAAATGCTCAGAATGAATAGAGAAATCGATTAAGCCATGTCTGTCTGTCCGTCCGTCTTCCGTTGTCCGTCCGTCCGTGTACACGATAACTCGAGCAAAAATTGAGATATCTCAACGAAACTTTGGTATGTAGGTTTCTGTTAATCCAAGGTAGGTTGGTAT